ATTGAATTTGATTTATTGCAAACCCTATATCCTTCGAAATGGTTTGCAATTTTGTACAAGCCAAACTTGTTATCAACAATATTTTATCCAAAACACTAAGTGATAAGATAAAATCAAATTTTTCTATTCTAAAGACTATAGCACTATCCATAGTTGAAGTGGCAGGATCTTCAGAATCCTTTAAATTTGTTAAAGCTGCCCTCAAGGCATCATAAAGTAGAAAAAAATTTACAATAGCTTTATATGACGATAGCCAGCTTCTAAATAAAAAACATTTTAAATATAAATAAATAATGTAATATTACCGAGTGGTATTCTTGATGCGTAGAAATCGTTGCGATTTTTTCAGATCATTACACTGAAATTTTTTGAGTACCTCATATCTTTTTACACCATTAAAATAGATATAAATCTCATCTAGTATTCCTAGAACATTTGAAGTTCTTTAATTGATTGGCATAATTGAACAATGATTAAATTTAATCAATGACAATAACACCAAATAAAAGCTGCCTTTGGCGCCTCTGCTCTAATCAAGGCCTGCACACCATAGATTCTTCCATTCATGTTTGAGGCGCCATCATAACTTTGCCCAACTAGGAATTCAAGGGGTAAATTTATCGAGCCAAGTTTGGACATTATATTATGCTTAATATCGAGACCTGTGGTATTTCACGTACAATATATGTCAATCAGTCTTTCAACAGCTTCGGTGTCTCACTATTTTCAACATATCTTAGTCAAAGCTATTGCTTCTGATTTCGAAACACTATATGTGCCATCAACTATGATTGAAAAGCACCTGTTCTCATTTTGAATTTTTTTATAACCATATTTTTCATGGTTTAATGAGAATATTTATGTTATTATATGTTAATAGATTTGCATATGATTTCGTTTTTAATCCCTTATTGTTTTTCTCCCAGTACAGGTTCAGAATCTGCAATGAGTTTAATAAGGCCCGTCATATTGCCTTCTTGAAGCCTGTTCCCCAGAAGGCTTGGTTACCAGATATTAAATAACCTAGACATCTTATTAATAATCTTATGATAGAACGGTATTATCCACACATTCTTTCTGGGGTATTATAAATTGTAATATGGAATTTTTGTTGTGTGAAAGCTTTCCATAATCGGCCATCATATGTGTCTGTATTCATGCACAATAATATCACTATTAAATTTCATGATCATTAAAAGAGTCAGATATTATATTTGTTTCTAACACATTTTATTATTTTTGGTTAATATTTTTAGGCATATTTTGAAATTGGAAAAATAATTTATGACAAGAAATCTCGTATAACAACTTAATTTACTACACATCGATCTAAAATTTCCGTCAAAACATATTAAATTAATAAATAAGTGGGGGGGGGGGAGGGGGTCTTAATATTGCATACATAAACCAGAAATCAATTGGTTATGGATGGATGTAGCAAAACAATAAAAAAAAAATTTTTAAACATTAAAATAAAATTTTTTTTAAAAAAAAAGTACCCCCACTAAAAATTTTAAAATAAAAATTTTTTTTAAAAAAAGTACCCCCACTCAATTTACTGAAGCAGTTGCTTCGGACCCCCCCCCCCGTTGTAGGGGCCACTGTCCTTGTTTAAATTTTAAAAAAGTTTAAAAATATTACATATGACAATTGTCAGTTTTCTATGTTATATATAAAAAAAAATCAAAAAAGTTCAAAAATAACGATTATGACAATTGTCACTTTCCTGTAATACATCTTCACTGAAATTTTAATTTAACATATTAACAATATCTATTTCTACCCATTTGCCTTAAAAAAATTCAAAAAAGTTCAATAATAACGATTATGAAAATTGTCGGTACATCTTTATTGAATTTTTATTTTAATTTAACATGCTTACTAACCCATTTACTTCAAAAAATAATATCAAAAAAATAATAATTTACTATAACGTTATAAAATATGAAGATCTTTTGAAGAGAAAAACAATTTTTAAGGAGAGTTTAAAAAATATATTTTATTAACTAATATCTTTCTCTTTTCGTAAGGTGTATATAACATTTTTTACAAATTAAAATTAGACTTTAATATTAAAAAGGTTAACATATAAAATAAAATTGTAACTAAAATAAAAATATAATTTGAATAAATTGGATTGTAATAACAGTACAAATATAAATTGAATTGTCCAAATTTGAATACATAACATTCAGATTCTTCTAAAAAACCTTCACATAAGTTTAAATATGTTATCGTAGTTAGTTAGTTCATCAAGTTGTTTCACAAGTCATCATTTGGCTTGTCCCAATCGTTGGTTTGTTTAAATCGATTTGCACGTTGGTTTGTTTAAATCGTAAGCTTGATATCCTTATCGTAAGTTGTCCTTATAATCGTGACTTTGTCATATAGCTTGCTTGTCATACTCAGTTGTTATTATTATCATTTTTCAAAATTGTTATTATCATCAGTAAGTTACGAATAATGAGAAATAATAATTCATCAAATTGGATATAAGAATAAACGAAGAATGATAAATCAATAAGATTGTTATATAATATTTTCAGCGTTTTGATTCTTTGCGTTTTAGTGTAAGCGTTTTAATATTTAATTTACTTTATGCATTTTAATATTTATTTTATATTTTAAGTTATGTAGTCTTTTAAATAAACAGGTTTTTGTTTAATTCGCACAGGTCTAGAAATAGGTGGTATATCGTTATTATCAGTAATTTTTATATTTTTGTCACACTTACCTCCTTAAAAGAATCCTTAGAGTCATAATTAATAAGTGTGTTAAAACAGTTTCTAATTCTTATTTATCTAGATGTCTCCTCAAAATACTTTTTTCTGTCTTAATTTGGAACATCATGTCACTTTCTTTATGTGTGATCATACCTTTGCACCATTTATCATCACCTTGTACATTGTACCAAACAAAATCTTCTACGTTAAAGGTTCTATTTCGTGGTAAAGTAACGTTTATTTTATTCTCCATCCCCTCCAACGGTTTTAATAAGTCCCATTTAATTCTAATATCTCGATTAAACCTTCTTTGAGATGGAGTAACTCCTGTAGTATCATTACGCGTATTTCTGTAATTAAATAAAAACTTGCCAAGTGCGATATCTAGGTCAATTTTAATATTCCTTTTCATATGTGTTTTGAACGTTCTCACTATGCGTTCTACCTGGCCATGGGATTGCTGGTGATAAGCAGATGTGAGCACATGTTTGATACTATAATTGTGGCAAAATTTTTCAAAATCGTTACTCGTAAAGTTAGTGCCGTTATCAGTAACTATAGTTTCAGGTATTCCACATAGCGAAATAGTTTTAAAAAATTCTTTTAAAGTAACCAGTCGTAATATTTTTTACAGGAATAATAATTGGAAACTTGCTGTAGGCATCGACTATTATCAACCAATTTTTTTTTAAAAACGGACCCGCATAATCTATGTGTATCCTTTCAAACGGTTTGGTTGCCGAAACCAATGGTTTTTGTATCTTTATAGGATTATCATGATATATGTTACAATCGTCACAACTTTTCTCTTCCATTACTATGTCATTGTTTATACCAGGCCACCACATGTAATCTTTGGCTAAGGATTTGATTTTTCCTGCTCCCAAGTGACCTTCATGTAATGACTGTAGTATATTTTTTCTCATAGAAGACGGAATTATGATTCTATTGCTTTTGTAAAGACAATCCTTAATTATACTTAATTCCAAATCAATGTTTTTATAAATATTATACATTATAGGCCTGTTGTTCTTAATATAATTTATGACTTGTTTTAATTCAATATCTTTCAAAGTTTCATCAGGAATTTGATTAAAATTAATAGGTAAATCCCCATATTCATTTATTATAGTGATATTTTCAACAGCTTCATCATGACATTCTTGTGGTAATCTCGAGAGACAATCAGGAACAACATTATATTTACCGGCTTTATACTTTATATTAAAATCATATCCTCCTAATGTAATATTCCACTTCTGGAGTCTTAAGGACATAGTGCTATTATTTTTAAGACCCTTGGTAAAGATGTGAACTAGAGGTTTATGGTCAGTAATAATTGTAAATTTAGTGCCAATTAAGTATTCCTGGAACCTCCTTATAGCGAACATAATAGCGAGAGCCTCACGCTCAATATTGGTATAGTTCATTTCGGATTTTAATGAGTTCTTGACGCGAAAGCTATAGGTTTTTCTTTACCATCTTTTTCAGTATGAAATAATACAGCTCCTAAACCACATTTCGATGCGTCAGTGGCTATTCCTATAGGTAATTCAGGGTTAAAATATGTCAAAGCAGGTGGAAGACTAATCAACTTCTTAAGATCATTAAAACTTTTAGAGTGTTCTAGGTTCCAAGCCCATTTTTCTTTGTTGACAATCTTATAAAGAGGATCGGCTATTTCTGCAAAATTGTTCAAAAATTATCTATAGTAGCCAGCCGTTCCCAGAAATGTTGATAATTCAGCAGCTGATTTTGGTTCTGGCATATTAATTATTGCTTCAATTTTGTCATGATTAGCATGAATCCCTTTGGCGTCAATATCATGACCCAGGAACATCACTTTGTTTTTAAAGAACACACTTTTATTGAAGTTAGGTATTAGCCCAAACGATGATATTCTATCAAACACTTTTTTTATGTTGTTAAGGTGGGCTTTATCGTTTTTTCCAGTTATAAGTAAATCATCAATATAAAATATGACGTCATCCATGTCACCGAAGATTTGATCCATTATCTGTTGAAAAATTGCAGATGAGGTCTTAAGCCCAAAGAGAAGTCTAGTAAATTGGTAATATCCCTTGTATGGTTAAAATATTTCTGCAACTTTTATCAATTGGGATCTGTAAGAAAGCATTTTTAAAGTCAATCTTCGTAAATTTCTTTCTTTCTGAAAGTTTAGCTATTAGATCATTGATTCGTGGAAGAGGGTATCTGAAATCTTCTAGAGCTAGGTTTAAAGTGTCCTTAAAATCAGCACAAAGCTTAATGGTCCCATCATCTTTGTAGAGTAATAGGACTTGCCCATCGGACATCATTCACCGGCTCAATAATTTTATCATGTATCCATTTTTTAAGTTCATTGCTAACAAGATCAATTTTTGAATAAGGTATACGTCTAGGCGGTATAATTTTAGGTTGGGCATCACTTCTTAAATGTAACTTAACACTTGCTTTGTTGATTGGCCCATTAGTCAATTGTGTCGACTTGCATATATCGTTCACTTTTAAAGTAGTCATAAATGCATTATCTTTGTCATTGAGCATGTCCCCAGATAAGTTGTTAACATTGAAATCGTTATCATCTATGTTCTTTGTAGAGTCGACTTTCTCTTCAATAATTTCTTCAATATTCATATTATAATCATTGTTGTTGTATTGTATTTGCTTTCTATTATTGTTGTCCCTACCTCTATAATTATATGAGTTGTTGTTATATTGTATTTGCTTTCTCGGATTATTGTCACTACCTCTATAATTATTTGAATTGTTGTTATAAGATTGGTAAATGTTACGGTTTCCGTCACCGTATTGGATCTGTTTTCCTTGATTATTATCATGCCATGTATTATTTCCCATAATTAGATTGATTATTTTTGTTGTAGCGATAGTTATTGTAGTTATAGTTGTTATAATTATCGTGGTATCTCGAATTATTATTACCGTAATTCCTTTATCTAAAATTATTGTTGTAATTCCTATCTCTATTTCTATTATCATAATTATTTCTAAAATTATTATCAGGTCTAAAATAATTATTATTGTCATTTCTATTTCTACTGTTAAAGTTTTTATCTTTATCAGACTTTTTATCGTTATTCATATAACTTATATTATCAACATCTGATTTATGATTGATACTATCTAATTTAATTCCTAGCTCTACCATTTCATTTAAGGTTAAATTAATATTTTTACAAAATTTATATTTTATTTTGTCATTTAAGGTAGACGTACGTAATTTTTCTTTTAATCTACTTTCGTCCGAAAAATTACATTTTTATGTAGTTTCGATACTCTTATGTACCATTGCATGAAATTCTCACTCGAGTTCTGCTGTAATAAGTTAAATTTGTTTATTAAAATGTTTTTATCTTGTACAGGTAAAAGGTAAGTTAACGTTTTAGTCACTATTTTAAGATCTAATATGTCGGTATCGGAGCAAATTGATTTAATATTGTCAAAGACCTCGTCTGATAAATTATTAAGCAAAGTATTTATTTTAATAGAGTCCGATAATGTGCTGGTCGAAAAATAACTTAATATTCTGTCTAAGTAAATCTCAGTAAGTGGTCCAACCAATTTTGGAATTTTATATATTAATTCTGGTTTTATATCCATATTTTATTAATAAATCGTATACATATTTAGAAATTATAACACTTCATATTTTAACAAAAATACAATGGAGTTGAATAAACTCCGAGTCATTATATACGTAAGACTTCCCATTAAGTAGTTCAAAATAGTTGACCATTTCTTTAAGGCTCACAAATTCAAACATGACGTCATTACTACCAAGTATCCTTGAGTAATGTACATCGCAATTATAAGTTAATTCAAACAGTATATCATAAATAGAAATTTCCCAGGGAATATTAATGAGTTTGAATGAAACATAATGGAAATAACTTTAAAATGATTTTTACCTTTATTTTCCTTCTTTATATAGAATTTATTTGTTTCGTTTTATAATTTTTTTATTATTCATATTTACATTTCGAAGAGAAAAAAATTTTTTTTAAAAATAAAAATTTCTAAAAAAAATTTACGTGGTGGCGAGTTTTTTTTGCCAACGAGGCACCATGAAGAGAAAAACAAATTTTAAGGAGAGTATAAAAAATATATTTTATTAACTAATATCTTTCTCTTTTCGTAAGGTATATATAACATTTTTTACAAATTAAAATTAGACTATAATATTAAAAAGGTTAACTTAAAATAAATTTGTAACTAAAATAAAAATATAATTTGAATAAATTGGATAGTAATAACAGTACTAATATAAATTGAATTGTCCAAATTTGAATACATAACATCTTTGAAGATCTTTGATCTAAAATATTTTAAATAAAAGATCTTCAAAGATCCGCTGCTCAAAATTTTTTTAAAAGATCTTCAAATTTTACGATCTTCAAAGATTGAAGATCTTTTTATTTTGAGCAAATGTACAACTCTAATATTTATTATCAAAAGTATCTATTAATAAAATTTATTAAAATATTAACTTTAATATATTTTATAACTGTCAAATATGTATGTAAAAGTGGCATTTTACCTAATATTTTATAACTAATTATATATAATAGGGGATATTAAATTATATGTCTACTTTTTTATAAAGTAATCTCCTATACTTATTTATACCTTGAAAATATTTTTAGGAAGAGGCATGATAATTAAATTTAAAAATAAACAATATAGTTGATTAGTATTTTGAACTCGAGTAATTTATAAAATTTGTTAATTTAAAATTAATAAATAATTATAATTTATTTAATTAGGGTTATATAATAATTTAAATAATAAAAGTCAATTAAGTTTCAACTGTTAATGCTAAATTAATATTTCGTGAGTGATATTGATATTCTATTTTTAACACAGAATTTGATTGCAAGCTGACATAGTGAAAATATAATTTATATATATTAATCTAATCTAATAATTAAAATAGTTTTTATTTAATAAAAATTTAGATATATTTAAATAATAAAATTAAATCTATATATTACCTAATAGATTCCTAAAAGAAATCATTAAGGGGGCTTTCATAACAATTTATTTTTAGTTCAAGGGATATTAAAAAGCCATTAAAAAAAAATTTTGCTTCAGGGGGCTATTCAAATTTTTCAGTGGGCTCGAGCCCCTGCAGGCCTCTTCCTAGTGACGCTACTGAGCCAAAAATTAAATCCAAGATAAGTCCAAACTACAAAAATGCAATAATAATGATTAATTAAAACTAAAGAATATTATTAGGCATATCACGAATCATAATAACTTTTCAAATTTCTTATCTCCCCATTTGTTGTAAAAGAAGTGAGTTTGAATCACCACTTTTAAATCGACTGGTCTATGGTAATTTCCCTCTCCCTTATACTTTAATATAGACTTTTATATAACTATCAATCATTTTGCACTCTCCCTTGCAACGAACATACGTAATTGCCTGAATCTGGGACAGAGAAAAGAGACTATCTAAAATATCCCCTTAAAAAGTATATCATATTTTAAATATTGAGTGTATCATTGTTGCTTTTAATTTAATTGAATATCATCTAAAAAAATGATTAGTTAAAGAAATATTTTGAATATTATTTTACGTGACACATGATAATTAAGCGCCTAGTCCTATTATGTTATACATACACAAGTATATGTACAACAGAGTAACGCTAGGTTCTCGCGACATCCCATCAGATAAGGTATCAAGAATTTAAGGAATTTATATTCAAAAAGATCATTCACGTTTTTAGGCAAGCCAAAGTTACCTGTAGGCATAAGAAGACAACTTGCTATTTAAACGTCTACTGAAACAATTTTTAATAAATTTTATTTGTTTTTAATTTTTATAGATAATAATAACGATCGTAAATATTCAGCTACGCTAGGATATTAAAAAAATTATTATTAGGCCTGGCCCAGGTATTTATAAAAAAATTATTTTTTGGCCCAGCACGGTGGGTCTAATTAAAAAAATACGGCTCGCATACCAAGGCCGGTCTTTGAATAAAACATATCCTATCATATGTAAATTTCAAGTCTAACAATCATTATTTAGTTTTAGGCACTATAACTGCTAAAAAGAATTTGGTTTTATTCCCTTATCAAAAGCTCCATACATGGGATATCAAAAATGAGTATTTTCATAAATAACCTGACATCATTTATTGGCTTGAGACAAATTGTGAGATTTGAAAGCAAATATTGTATAATAATATTGTAACTTGAAGACACATAATCCCCATTATTTTGTTTGCAATATAATAATCAACTTTTCCATCATTCATACAAGTAATCGGCCACAATTTTTTGAAATAATTCCTTACTTCTTTTTATTAAAGTTCACAGGTAAAACGGAAATATAGTTCACGGTCTTTAAAATTATTCTAAATTTGCATTTATTTAAAAAAATAGCATATGTTTTTGGTCTGGTCAGGGTTTAGCAACTATCTTTGATAAATCAAAATCAATTAAGTAAGAATTAATTAATATCTATCCCGAATTCGAATTTTAATAATTTCTAAAGATGAATGTAAATGGTTCATTTTGTGATACAGTAATAATTGATTGCATAATAATATTTAAACAATTATTTATTTAGTCCAATAGCAGAACTATTCTAGAAAGTGATGGAGAATGTATATCAAGTGACAATGACGATCCTACTTTACTTTTTCTAGAATATGATGAATTATCTAACCATTCAGTTGATTTTAGAAGAAAAACTATTAAAGATTTAAAAAAAATAAAGGATATTGGCTTTAGTAAAAATACAAATCTAAAAATAAATAACATTTGGTCTGATGTTATCATGGACCAAAATCTAATAAGCCAAATGGACACTGTAGCATTTGTTAATGGCATTAAACGTAGTAAAAATTTGGGGCCAGAATGTTATTATACTTCTCCAGATATTATGCCAATTATAAATAATGCATATAAAAATAGAAATAAAATAAAAAAATTAAATCATAATTATAGTAATAAAGATGATTATAATGATAAAATAAAATTTAACTGCAAAAATAATATTTTTAGAGCAAATATAAATGATAATATTAGCAAAGGTGATACCATAGATACCAATTTAAAATGCAATATTAATGAAAAAAAGAACCATTATAAGCACAATAAATATAACAAAGGTATTGAAAACTATGAAGAAATTATTAAAAAATTTGGTGATCAAACACTTGGACAGAGAAGAAAACATGTTGTATATAGATTAAATGCCTACTCAATTAAATCTGGATATGAAAGATTTTACAAGAATATTGGTTTTTCCCATGACACAGATTCCAAAACTGCAGTGACTATTATATCCAAATATTTAGAAGAATCGAATATAGACTTAATAGGTTAAAATATTTAAAAAATTATATAATTATAAATATTATATGTTTATTTGTGATTAAGTGTTATGTTTTTTATAGAAAAAATAGTGAATAATTTAGGTGCCCTCAAAACTTGTCAAATACTATGTGAAACAGATGCCATTCAAAAAATGGGAGGACTCTATACATTAGTAATTAAATATTTTAAACTCTCTAATAATTAAATATTAATTAGCACTCTTAAATTTAGAATTAAGATAAAATGTAGTTTATTTATAAGTAATTAAATATTTTATTTTGCATTTTTTTATATTTCTAGGACCTGCAATTAGGGTTTTTTTAGTTTATATATGAAAGGACATTTAGTTCTACACCCCAGTAAGTCAGTAAGGGTGTGACAAAACTACACACTGAAAACTGCACATCCCCTATTATATAAGCATTAGGTAAATTAATAAAATATTTAAAAAAAACACTTTTTATTACTAAATTATGCACTTCTAGGTATCCTTGATAATTATGCGCTGTTAAAAATGAAGGCAGAATCATGTTTAGCTTTTTAAAAGGATTCATAGAATGTTAATTAATTTAAAAAAATTTGTTAACTTAGAGGGATATTGAAATAACACTTCTTTTTTTGACTATATGCACCCACTATTAAAAATGCTCTAATTAAAAAATAAATATTTAATTATGAACTCTTTAAGGAAATTCAGAAAATGCTAAATTAATTGTAATTTTTTCTATTTAGAATTAATAATAATCATATCCTACTAATTCTCTAAAATAAATACGTTATCATATAAAAAAATTTAACCTAACTCCAAAGAGGGAAGACTCGGAGATCTGATACATTAATAAAAACGGATTTTTTTAACATAAAACTGAAAAATAATAGACCTTTTAAAATGCGATAAATTTTAATAATTAATTAAACACTTAGTTTTTTTTAAATTTAAATTAGTGGTTTGGGGAAATTTTGAAGCTCTTAACTCATTTTAAAATCAAAAAAAAGGAATTAATTATTTTTCTATATATTTTTTTAAAAAATCCGGGTCGCAGAACCTGAAAATATAAAACCTCAACGGGCCGTGCAAATGTTACCTCTGGAGGTCGCTGTCATTTATTTAGAAATTTCAAAATTATTATTTTTTAAATCTTTATAAAAAAAATAATTTTTAAGGATGGAAAGCGTAAAAGAACATTTGGGGGTGTTTTTATAGTGATGGTTAAGACCGATTTAACGGTAGACCAGTCTCTTAAAGCCCTAATCTTTGGTAACGAGAATCAACCCAAAATAAATATCGCCAAAGATAAAAAGGACATCATTTTGGATACCGAAAAACAATTAGGTTTTTTAGAAAAGGAAATAATTTTATATTAAAAGATTTGGAATTTATTTCGGAACATTTGAAGGCTAACTGGACAGGTTTTGACCTCTCCGCGATCCGAAATCTTTTCTAAAATGGTCACATTCCGATAGAGTTTAGAAACCAAATAGAATTAGCGTATTTTATCTCCACTACGATGTCTAAGGACCGGTTGACCTTCTTGTTCTTAATAATGAAAAAAAATCCTGACGGTTTTTAAGGATTCTAAATATTATTATGTTATTATTTCTTTCAAAATAATTAAAATTATATTTCTACAATGGATTTTTGTTATTCAGAGTAATTGAAATAAATATATATATATATATACTTTACGATAAATTTATTTGAATCTATTCAAATTAAAAAATATATAAAATTCATCAAAAATACAATTTAGCTTTTTCAGAAAGAATATACTTGAATATGGGTATTTTCTATATTTAAAAAATAAATTAAGATAAGATGAACTCCAATGAACCCTCGGACTCAAAAGGTAACTCTGTAGATCATATTGATTTGGAGATTAAAAGTAATTTTAATAATTATTTTAAAAAACATTATATTTCTTGGTTGTTTAACTCTTTTCTTATGTTTCGTATTTTAAATCTTTTCCATCTCTAAGCTTGTATGGTTCACTTCAATTCAAATATAAAAAGTTTTAATCAGATCTATATATTATTGTCATAATATGGCATGAAGACATTTCAAGAATCGGAATATGAGCCAGATGATTAAATTCGTCATTTAATTCGAAACTTTTTTAAAAATATTAATTTTTATTTAAGATATAAAAACATGCAAATTATTTAAAACATATAACTTTTTTTTCTTTATTTTCAATATAAAAATATTTTTTGGTGAAAATTATTTTGCGTGAAATCCTTTATATTTTAGAGTATTCCATTTTATGTAAAAATTTTACCAGCATATTTTGGTTTTAAATAATAGATAATATATATTTTAGGAATATTTATTTTTGTGTTGGATTATTAAATTAAAATAAGATCAAAGAAAATAATATAATCACAAGGTAATATAGCTTTATTAATTGCAATTAAGCATAAAAAATCAATATTTTAAATTTGCATCTCGATTTTGTAAGATATCATGATAATTTGCTTATATTCTAGTTATAATGATATATTATTTTATGGCAAGGCCTAAATATAGTAAAATAAAGTTTATAAAAACTGTAGTTTATGTTATTTTTACTAGATTTTATATGTCTTTATTTTTCTGAACCATGAACCCGAACCTGGTTAAGAGATATTTCACTGAATCAAAACCCAAACCTGAATCCCTTTTTTTAGAAAGAGGGTTCACAGCCCTGAAAATTTGACATTTATTAATGAGTGGAATGTAGTGTTCTTAAACAGTTTAATTTGAGCCCATTTTTAAAAATGCTAACCCAATATTTTGGCCAGGAAAATATTACCTAAGTCTCTTGATTTAGTTATAAATATTCAAACCTTTCCGTCATCTATGAGCAAAACCCCAGGCTTGCGTAATATTTTTCTGGATAAAATATTGAATTAGCCGTTTTTTAAAAAGAGGCTCAAATCGAGAGTTTAATAACACTAATGGAGTGTATTATAAATTTTATTATAGTAATCCCAAGTTCCTTTTTCTACAAATTAATTGAAACACGGATCAATATGCATACGGGAGAATATGTTTATCTAGTGAATTTATTAAAGTAATAAAACAATTTAAGAAATAGAATACAAAAATTTACATTATGATAAATAATTAAGAAAGCCTAGATACTTGTGAGAATTAAATATCCAATTATCACATTGGGTCTACATCTGATGGACTTAATTTGCTTTTAAAGGATCTAGCTTATAATATATTGCCAATTTAAATTTTACTAGCAAAAACCCAAAGTATTATAACTAATGTAAAATTCAACATTCTTTTACACATTTAAGGAAAAACAACTACTTAAAGATATAACTAGGATTGTTATCTTAAGGATGCCTAGCCCACTCAACTCGTTGGGCAGTATAGTTTTGATAATTAATAGTTGCGAAAAAATAAAAAAAATTACGGCAATACTCCATATTTTTATAGAGATATAATCTTCTTGATAAGGAAGCTTTTTAAATGATCTCAGCTTATACAATTTTATCGTCATTTCTAAATAGAGGTGGTGGAAGAGCAATTCGAATCTATATGACGTTCCTTAAACATCAGGGAGACCTCTTATAGAGAGATCGAACAATTTAAAAAAAAATAAAACGAAAAATACTTTGCTGCCGGGACACATATTACCCTGCTCATATACTTGATCCAAGTTATTGCGGATTTAATTTTTAAGACAATGAGGTTGATAAAAGATTAGATGTTATAGACTGATTTTCTGGATATCTAGATTTAGGTGTTGCGAGACAAGTGACAAATGGCCAGAATTTAAAGATATGGATCTTCAAATGAGAATAATTAAACAATTGAAATTATGTTACTTGTTTAAATAATATATTAATAGTTTATATATTTTTAAAAACATGGAAAAAAATCAATATTGGACTGCAAAATAACTTTTTAAAGGAAATTTACTTCCCTACTCTTGACTAGAGTCTTGCAAGTCAGCCTGAAGCTGGACGACTCGGGTCTAAAAAAATCGTTCTGGGGATCAGGCTGGAAAAATATAAATAAATTTAAAAAATAACAAAAAATAATGTTTTTATCTTTTTATTAAAAAATACCTCATTTTTTAAATTAAGATTTTGAGACGGGCGGCCTACGATAAAAATTAAGATCTATACATCGCCATTAAAATTATTACTGACTAAGGCGTGACAATTATAACAGAATTTCCATCTTCAAAAATGAAATTCGCTTTTCTGTAAGGAAGGTTTTTATTATTGATTATAATATTACCTATATGAGATAGTACATCAGTCATTTAAAGATATTAGTAGTTATTGAAAAACCATGATTACCCTCAATTTTCTAAATCCAGTGGCTACAATATTATTACTGCCCCAAATTATAACATTAATCGGCAACCATCAACAGGGGACTTATTTATTTAATAAATTATTTCAGGATCCTAATGAGATATTTCTTTGAATGTCACCTAATAACTAGAGGTGTACCGATACCACTTTTTGGAGGCCGATCCGATCCAATATTCCCTATATTAAATCGATATCATATCTAATCAATGGTTTTAATTTTTAATATGCTTTTTATTATCTATAAAACATATGTCATTTAAATATATTATAATGATCAGTTATAGTTTATATTCAATTCAATTGCAATTCTAAAAGTGTATAAGATATTTTTATTAACATTAATCTATTTATATAAGTAATAAAATATATTATAAAATTTGAAATAAATATTTAAAATTAATATATCGAAGATTTCTTTTTAGAAATACCAAAATTTCCAATTTATCAAAGGTCAGCCTGCGGCGATGGAAGTCAATATCACCAGCTTCACTAAAAACAGATTCGGAAGAGATTATCGCACACTTTTATAAACAATGCTCAAAAAAATAACTATATGGCAGAATGTTTATTAATTAATTATTAAATAAACATAAAAATGGATTTCGATTTTATTTATAAAAATAAATGGTAAATGGTTTTTTAATATAACTTTTTAAAAAAATTTATAACATTTTATTTTGGTTAAAAACGCCATTTATCGGATCGGAACATTTTAAATATTGGACGATAACCGATATTTTAAAATAGATGAAATATCGGTCCGATCCGATAAAAATATCGGTACATCCCTACTAATTACCATAGGCACAATTGAGGATAGAAAATTTCCTTTTTTTTATCATTAAATTATCCCACTATCAATAAAAAGTATAATTTTATACCCTTTAACACAAAATTTTTGAAAATTAGTAAAGGATATTGTAAAATAATTAAATCGTTTATAATTATTTTGTCAGGGTAGGATATTTCACCTATTTTTTAGAAAATTAAATATTCTGACGAGTATAACATTAAAATCTCTTTGAAGGATATTTTTTCTTTAAAAATAAACAAAATTGTATACAATATAATATAATTAACTAGATACTGTCGCTCCTCCTACACATCCTATTCCTATTTCTCCCGCAATCATGAATGATGATATAAATGAAAACATTATTTCGGGATCCAGCAATGATTTAAACGTTAAAAGAGATTCGGAAAAAATTGTGTCTAAACCTCAAAATACGAAAAAAAATAAAGGTATTAGAAAATTACCACCGTTACCCGTGGAGATAAGGCAGGACAACAAATTTTTATACTACCAGTCTCCTAAAAATCGTTTTAATCGCAATAACTATAACAATAATTTTAGTCCTAAAAGAAAAAATTTCAAAAAAGGTGGTAAAAACCCAAATAAGGGTATTCCAAATATGAACGGGTTAGGAGGAAGTAGGGAGCAAAACTTAGATGCCGATGATATAGACGTGATAATAAACAAAGAAATAGATCAGTTAAGTCGACCAAACGATTTAAATCAAGCTGCTAACTCTAATGATAACAAATGTAAAGTCAAAAAAGATCTCGAAGTTAAGAAGATTATTTATGAAGTTAATATGGAAACTTGAAAATTATCCAATTATTTCTAACAGATAAGATGTTTTTTTTATATAAAATTGGTATTTTTTAACAAATATATTAAAATTGATGATAAAAATGCATCTATATGAGCTGAACTATAGCTAGCTAAAAATATGAACTCAATAGCAAATCCATATTATTATTGTCACTCCTTTTATATTATATTTTCAATTTACTAATAAAATAATATTTTGTAAAATTATTTTAAAAAATAAAACGTCAATTTCTTTTTGTAGTTTATTTCAAAAATCAGATATAATATTTAAATTCAAACAAAAAAATTGTGTAAAACTAATATTCACATCAGAATTAGAAATAATATACATTTTATATAAAAATATTGAGGGGGGAGGGGTATATATAAAATAAATTAAATTTTTTTTACAGAGAACCAATTATAGAAGATTTTCAATATCGTCAATTTATATTTAAAATTTTTAAATTAATACGAATATATAAAAATGAGAAGAAAAAAAATATATTTCTGAAGTTTAATAAAATTTCAAAGCTTATTTATTGTTGGCGATGTTTTTTTAAATTGTGTAGATGATAATTCAATTTTCTTTATATTCTTACTTAAATTCAAAATTAAATAGTAAGTTGGTAAACTATTCAAAAAAAATATTTTTTTAATAAATAACGAATAGGTATTTTAAGCATGATATCTTGTCTAAGGTTCACAAAAAAAAATTTATAAAAATGACGAAGTGTATTGTCACAAAAAAAAGAATGCAAAGTGCCAAGAAAAAAAATTGGAAGATATTTCTAACATCCGAAATTCATTATAAGAAATAGAGAAATGATAATAAAATATAAAAGTCGGGACAATTTACGTTAAAATTTTGGTTTTGTAAGCTGTAAAAGCACGATCGCCCAGCTGTTGAATAAGATTGTTCTTGGTGATATTCTTTAGTATATATACAATTTGTTCAACTATTCCTATTTTGCATCATCTTACAAATAAGCTAAAACCTATTCAATTTGTCCCCCTACTAGGAAGAGTGAATTTATATCTAGCGGTGACAAAGCACGTGACATCATTTCCAAGTCCTCCATAGGAGGAAAGAGATCTAATAAGTCAGAATTATTGATATTACACGACGATTTATAATAATTATTATTATAAGAGTAATTGATGACGGGTAGGTCATTAGTTATTGGATCATTGTTACATTCACCAAAAGTGGCTTTGTCTTCGTACTTGATATTAAGATTTATGGTTGATTGATCATTTTTATATTCAGGCGGAGTGTATTGGTTTGCATTAAGAAATATGGGCCCTTCAATAGGTTGGTCATTATAAAAGTAATGCTCACGTGATAGGGTGTCGTTATTTGTATTATTGTTGGAATATATGTTTAATTCAGAACTGTAATTAGAATCATAAGAACAGTTATTGCATAAAGTTGATATGTCACTTTGAATGTCGTTAAGATCCATTTGATTGACACTAGAACGGTAGTCTATAAATTATATAAATAAACACTAAATTATGTTATTTTAAATAAAATTCATACCATGCTGTCCTTGTGTTGTTAAAGTTAATTGTTGATATGTTAGAGTAGAGTCATGAATATTGGAATCATTCTAAAAAATATAGCAATAAATGTATACAATATATGCTGAATTAAAATTTAGTTAACTTCTCGGATAGAAGTCGTAATTGTAAATTCAAAATGACGCATACAAAATAGAAATGGTAATTTAATTATAAGATTCCACTCTCTAAATTATGCCTTCACCCATATCTATTTAAATCTCGCATCGCAAAAACCTAACTTGTTGGTAGCAATTTACAATACAATTAAAGAATGAATTCCTAATAAAATACCGTTATATCTGAAAGGTCAATCCTTATAAAATATATACTTATAAATTATTTTAACGTATTTAGTTTTAATTATGTTTGAATCATAAATTATCATTTGAATAGACTGTTTTTATGATTTGTATTAAATATTAACATGAATTATGGTTATAGAGGAAGCCATTAATTACAATAAAGACTAATTTCAAATACATGTTTTAATTCAATTATTATTACGATTAAATTCAATTTCAGTTTAAAGTCATTTCTTAATTCAAATTAATTACTAATTTATATTAAGTCACAATAACAAATTTTGGGTATATTTATTTATTATTTCGTCGGCTGAAGATTATAGTATTCTATAACCATTTTTTTCAATTGTTGAGAAGAGCGTTTTTAAAATTTACATGATTTATTTTCAACAAATAATTACGCGGAATATTTTTTATCTGTTGATAATGCTTAGAATGACATTTAAGCAACTCATTATAGCTTGCCTTAAAATAGTGTTCTCGGAAAACTTATTTTTATACCTTTGAAAAAAATGGACATAGAACAAAATCAATTAAGATGAATATGTTCCATATTCAAAAATTGCATTATAAAAAGTAGCTTTAAAAAAATAGAACAATTTAGTGAAATAGCTGCATTTTAAAAATCACATGACTAGATATTTGTAATTCTTAATAGTTTTAAGAATATGGAACACTAAAATACTATGCAAAATAAGACATGGAAAAATATAATGTAAACGCATGTAATTATTATATTTTTTTTAAATAAAAATGACCACTTATACCTCAAAACCTATATCATATATTAAGTTCAGTAATAAAAGGTTTAATGATCTAATATCTTACATTTTGGTCATATTTTGTAATATTTGACGATAAATGCGTTTGCTTGGAGTCATTCAAATACATGAGATTATTTCTTTGGTGATAAAAGTTTTGGTCAATGTTATTCGTGTAATCATGATTTGACCGGTGATTATTGATCAATTTATTGATATAATTCGTATTTTCATCTATGATATTAACAATATTTTCTTCGATATAAGATAAAGATGGGGAATCGACATAAGAAATTTGTTCTAATGCTAAAAAAAAAATTTTTTTTAAATCATCCAATTTTGAAATTAAATTGCAAATATATTTTTTTAAAAATATAAAATCAATTTTATAATCCAAAATAATTAACTATAATCATACCATAACTAAAGTTCTTAAATAAATAATAGTTATAGTAGAACCCTAGCATCAAATCTATTTTATCAGTTCGATCGATCCAAAGAAAATTTTTGCCCAAAAGAACCTTTAGAATATAATTTTTTTATTGGACTATAGAAAAAGTACACTTCAACGAAAACGGAATAATTTTAAGCGCCGAAAGAAAATAAAAATAAGAATATTTATAAAATCAAAAGGGAAACTTAATAATTTTGCCAAGTCAGAGTCGGGTCAGAAATAAATTTTAAAATAGAGGTACGGGACCGAGAGAATGGCTTCCAACTCAGACCTACACGAGTTGGTCATTTTGGATTGTTTATATAGGGCTCTAGGAAATAGTAATAATTTTACTTTTGTATGATTTTAGTTTTAAAGGATCCTTTATTTTGATATCGTCTTTACTACCAACTGGTAACACTTTAGGACTGGAAGAAGCTATAGCTAATTGATTTTCTAGTTCTATTTGAGAACGTCTAAGCTGCCTTTGCAATTCGGCTATTTTTTCTCTCTGCAACTTTATCATTATGTTTAAAGGCAGCCCGTTAGTCGAGCTTCGGATATCAAAACTTTTTGCTTCGAAAGAATTATTCTTGTTTTGAAACGAGATATCATCCAGGACGAACGAATTAGGGGAAATGCAATTTATTAGGTCCGTATTGTATTTCGGCTGAGCCGAATTCGAAATAATATTGTGACTTGTACCGTGGGCAAAATTTAATGAGGGTGTTATAAAATTATTACTATTATTTAAAACGCTCTGGTCGTCAGAATGTGATTCGGTAGGGAAGAACCCGTTAAAAGGGTTATTATTGTGATTTAGTGAACTGATCCTATTGTCGAATGATTGGCAGTGATATGCCGCCTTTTGAGTCTTTGTCATGAATTCCTTGGGAAAAAACTGTTTCAAATTATTTTTTAGCTTGTGATTATTGCCAGCCAAATAGCCAAGAGAATCAAATGATGGTGTATTAGGTGATGACAACATTATTCCGATATCAGTAAAAAAATCGTTTATATTCATGGTCTTTTTTTCATATTTTAAATTATTATACTGTTTTTGAGATAGGGTATCCTTAGTTTCAGCATAGACCGCATAAAAAGGTTTGGAAGGAATAGAAGATTTAGATGCTTCTAAATTAGATTTATTATTAATTTCATTATCCTCATCACCAAGGTATAGAAAATCGTATATAGCTGGACCCTGATTTTGAGATTCGCTAGGGAGGGATGTAAGGATATGGCCCGAGGGCAGGTTAGGCAATTTATCTTTCCCTATGTGATCATTATCGTGACAAACTTTATCGTTTAAAAAGGCTACCAATTTCGGGTAATTTTTATTAGCGATTATTTCGGATACGAAAGATTTTAACCTTTCTAACAGATATGGCTTAGGCCCCGATACAGGCAACTTTCGTTTCTTCAATTCACTTCTCAATTCAGGAACCTAATTTTTTTAAATAAGGGTAATTTAAAATAATTAGTTAGAACAAGAAAACTATATTATCTTTCTAATAATTTTTTCTCGATCATATTCGTAAATATTCAAAATTATTCGCGAATTTATTCATAAGTATTTAACATGTTCTTTGCAAAACATTTTATTATTTTTTTTAACTTTTAATCGCTTTTTTAAAATAGACTTTTTCATTTAGACAAAATTTGGAGATAATCTTATATGGACTGCTTTGTAAATGAGAGCAGATTAAAAAAAGTAAGACTCAAATAAATAGAGATCTGTAAGGACGGGTTTCTATGCCCGCGCGAGTCAATATTCCATGGATGTACCTATATTTTTTATCGGATCGGGCCGATATTTCATCTTTTTTAAAATATTGGTTATCGGCCAATATTATAAAATTTTCCGATCGGATAAAATGGCGTCTTAATTTAAAGAAAATTTCAAATTTCATTTGTTTATTACTTAATATGTAAATAGATTAATGTTATTAAATAAATATGTGATTTAACAATAAAAATATTTTATATACTTATAGATTCATGAATATAAACTATAACTGATCATTATAATATTAAATGACTTATATGGTATAGTTAAATTATAGATGTTATACTATTAAAAAGGAGATAGATGATGTTTACAAATATAAAGTCACATATGATATCGTGAGATCGGTAATCGGCAGATATCAATTTAATATCGGACAGGCCTCCAAAAAGTGGTATCGGTATATCTCTACAATATACCATTAAAAAATTTAAACAATGGGTGAGGTGAGTTGGTAATAGAGATATGCAAAGCCCGGCCCGTTTAAAATATCTTGACCGGATTTATACATAAAAATTCAGGCAGGTCCTAACAAATCTGATTTTTTTGTAAAATTTTAATAGGTTACCTTTAAAATTTTGAATTAATGTTTTGTAGAGCTGTGCCGATATTAAATATTCAATCGGATAGGGTTGATATTTTTTAAAAACCGACCCGATATTTATATTGTTTTTGATTATTTTAAGATTATATATATTTTATAAGTAATTTCATAATAAGAAATTAATAAAGGAACTAAATTACAATATATTTGTTGTAATGTTTAAAAGAACAGTTAAAAAATTTACACTATTTTTTGTTATATTATTTGAAGAAAAGGATTTTAAAATTTCAACGATTCTCAAAAAATGATTCAAGATTTTAACCATTAGTAAATTACTCTAGCTTATTAATTTTGCCCATAGATAGCAGAAAGGTTGGGACTTCTATTGGCAAAATTTCGAGGTTTAGGTAATAATTTAGCGGCTAAATGAAGCTGCTTAACAATACTACATTCACCCATAAACACTGTAAATATTTTAAATGAGCTTATTAACTTTTGGAGGATATAAAAATATACACTCAATCATTAGCGAAAATTCTATTTTTAAATAGGAATTATAGATATTTTCATTACATTGGTTCAGATAGATTACAAATAAAAATCAATATAAATATCAGATCGGCATCGGATAGACTTTTTTAGTAATATTTAGAAATATTGGATAGGATAAGGGAAAAATTTGTGGATCGGCACAAGCCTAATATTTTGATTAATACTATTTGAAAATAAATTACAATATGCTTATTTATTTGTATATTAAGAAAAGGTGTATGTTTGTTGTTAATATACTTTATACAATTTTAAAAAAATAGAAAAAGTAATGAAAAGTTAAGACATAACAATATATGAAATAATTCTATAGTTACCGTCAAGATCTCCAATGGACACTTTCGTCCCAAATTGTTATTCACTATTTTTTTAGCGCCAGCGATATTTTTATTTAAATTAGTATTACAACCAATGTAATCAAAATTAACATAACCGCTATCATCGGTGCAATTTTTATCGGGAAAAGACATTGTGGTGGAAATAAGGTTAGTAGGTTCTATCACCGATGTTTTCTCATTTTTACCGTTTACAGAATTTTTCAATGCATCCATGTTCTTAGAACCACCTACCTTTGTCGGAGCAATGTTAGGGGATTGTTGGCTAATTTGGTTAGTTTTCATGAATTGATTAGTTTGGATAGTATTCAAAATAAAAGCTTGTTTATTTATAGCGCTTCGATTTAGCAAAGATTGCGACAGTCTTTGATTGTAAAATATGAGTTGCTTTATCAGTTCATTGCTATTAGAACTAACAATGTCGTTACGATTGGCGATATCCTCTATGTTTTCCCTCTCTTTGACTCTTAACAGATGATTTGGGGTAAGACGGTTTCCATTAGATACATATATCGGATCATCTATATGTTTCAATGTAATGCTTAGGCTTGATGACTCATTCGAATGATTGTTGTTTGAAGAAGACGAAGCGAGAATGTTATCTATCAAGTCGTTAAATTTAAAAACCGCATGATTAATGTTATTCAGAGCGATAGTATGATTAGACATACTTATATTGAAAAGGGGGTTTTTGTATACACCATTCGACTGATTAGTAGCATTATCATTCTTTGTCATTCTATCTGAATCATCACGATGATCTAAGATAATACATTTTTAATTTTAGTTAGAAAGGAAATAATATGAAACATTTTCTTAAATTTAGTTTACATTAATTAGAGTTGGGCAGTATCGCAAATATTTATATCATAACTACAAGATACATTTGTGTCTTGTATCTTTTTGTGCATTTTGGTATCTTAAATACTTTTTAAAAATGAGTATTGTTATGTTTAACTATTTAATATGTAAAAAAATACGCATATTTTTAATTTGTCATTATTTTTTTTGATATATTTAAATGTTTATTTAATCTAAAACCGAGTTTAATAATATTAAACATTTCCTTTTTTAAATTTCCCACTAATAATTATCTGATATTTTTTCAAATAATATTTTGTTCAATGTTCAAATTTTTTATGGTAATATATTATTAATAATACTTAACATATAATATAAATTAGTGCTGTAAAGTAACTTCATAAAATTTTTTGAAGAAAAGGAACGCCATTCGTTACCTTCTTCTAGAGGTAACGAGTAACGGTAACGCGTTTCTTTTTTTGATTTAAATTTTTTCAAAATATTTTATTTGTATTATAAAATAATTTTTGTCAATTTTTTAAATTTTATAAATAATTTGCAGATCAACCATCAAATTCCTTCATTTATGTTAAATTTTCAGTCAGATTGTTAATCTAATTAATATTGAATCAATCCGATATGTTAATTCATATTCCTTATTCTCTAATATTATAATTTATGTTATAAAGAATATTATGTATTTACATATTTCTTCAGATAAAGGTGATTTAATCTACCACAATATGAAACATTTTTTACGCCAATAAAAAAATTAAGGGTACAAGGTCTAAAGTTTGTAAAATTGTGTCCCAGCTCAAATATTTCCTCTGTAGAATAAACAAGGACCGTCTCGAAACTCAAGCAGCCATTTTTAAGGGAAAAAGGGGAAAACTCTTTTTATAACTCCGTGAAATTAAAGTCTTATTAAGGAGATGAACCAATTTGACGAATCTTGTGATAAATCCGAATTACAGAGATTTTGGATAATGACAAATCGTTCGTATATATTTTGTATGGTCAGTTTTAATTAAAAAATAAGATATGTATATATTATGATTAGAGATGTAAATTTCCCGGGAAAATTGGTTCAGGAGAAATTTCCCCGGGAAAATTGGGGAAAAAAGGGAAAATTAAAAAATAACCACAAAATAAACTATTTTTTTTTATTAAATAACTTTATTAAATTTGGGGAACTAAGGGAAATAAGAATAATTAAAAAATAAAGACAAAAATACACTGTAAACATTTCATTTTTTTGGATAACTTTATTAATTACAATAAGCATATATTATAAATTACATTTAAAATTCATGGATGCTAATGAAATGGCATCAACATCTTAATGGGATGTAATTGAAATATCATCATTATCAATTTATATTGATAAATAGAAATCGGAACTCTTTTGATGATAACCCGAATATGATGTATTTGTGTGACCCTTTAAATGCATGTTAAGCTTGATTGATATTAATTTTTAGATTCTTTATTCTATTTCTCTTTTTTGAATGAATTTTTCCAAATGCTGACCAGACTCTTTCTGATGAGGCACTTGAGGGTGATCGAAAGACATCTTATTGCCACATGACAAAGGGGTTGATTTGTACCCAACCAACCCTTTACACCATATGAGTGGTTTAGTATGGATTGAGCTCTCCCACATGCTAGACCTTTATAGAAACCTTGTTTTGAACGATATTCTGCTAAATTACTCATAATTTTTTTCAATATCACATTTAATTTGGCCTGAAATAATATTTATTAAATTTAAAGCTACTGTTAATTCGCGGTCTGTTAATTTTCCACCATAATATCTAGGATCCAGAAGATTTGTTGCATAATGATATTCTCGACAACAAAATTTCTTTAGTTTATTAATATGCATCTTAACACTTTTCAAATCATTTTCATTAAAAATAAAAGTTGATGAATTGAGTTCATCTTTTATATCCCAAAATATTTCTAGTACGTCAGATAATACCGCTGTATCCGATTCTACAATTATAATTTTGTTATAAATAAATTTAAAAAAAGTCAGTACAGACTCTAATTTATCCAGTAGCCTTCTTTGTCCAATATAATACGTCTTTGTTTATCTATAAATAAACTGAAATTGCAATTTCTTGCAAAACTTTATTATTTTCCACAACACTTTGCAACTATAACAAGACCTCTACATCTTGTCGGACTAGAAATTTTTAAGGAAAATTCATATCCTTTCAATATTTGCCTTTCTTTAAAAGTTGCTAAAATATCATTAAATTTTATATATTTAATTATTTTTTTAGTTTTTTTTTGATGACCTTTTCAAATAAAACCTATTTGGCATAAATCTTTAATAAGCAGATTCAAGCACGTGCGGCATATCCATGCATTCAATTAAAGACTCACGAGGAAAATAAAAATTATTTTAAAATTTATGATATAATAAATTAAATTATAAATCATAATTTTGGAAATAAAATATTATAAAATATAAATCATAATTTTTGCAATAAAACATTATATTTATATTAAGGGAAAATTCGTGAAATTTCCCTACCTTTACATCTCTAATTATGATTTTAGATGTTATGAAACCTGTTGCTACGGCTTTATCGATTTTAAAGCATTTGGGATAATTCACTCCCAATAACTATTATAATTAAAACTTAAAAAAATTGCTTTAATAGTTTCAAGTTTTGTAAACAACTTATTAACCTACAAGCCATAGAAAAGGTAAACAGTTAAAATGTTGTTTACAATTTATATTTTGATTATATTTATTTTCAATAGTTCAAACACATCTATAAAGATGAATATATACTATCAGCAATAATTCACTCCTGATGAAGATTCTATTGAAGATGATCTATAGCTTTTTCCAAAATAAGGAATATTCTTATTTTTAATAAATTCCCTCAATTAAAATTATTATTTATTAAATATAATACAACTTTCCCATCCTCTGCGCCAGTTGAACGTGTGGTCAGTATGGCGAAAGATGTGTTGACACTCTCTTATTTATCTGATCAAAGTTTTGAAAATCAGTTGTTAAAAATAGATAAAAAATTATTATAAATATATCATATCTTATAATATATTATTTTTGTATAATTTTATTTATATTATATATAGGAAATTTTTGTATATAATATTTAATTTTTCAAATAACGAGTAACGCGTTACTTTCTGAATAATTAGTAACGCGCTTGACTTAAAGTAACGTTTACAGCATTAATATAAATACATATTAATAAATGTTTATAGTTTTCTTCTGCTTCAATAGTTCAATACAATACCAATCATAGCTTAAAATGTAATTCTGAGAAATATATTAAAGTAATGAATCCCTTAAGATATTGGTAAACTAAGGGGCTAAATAATTAGTGTGGGGATTTGGTCTCAATTTTATATGTTATTAAAAGATGTATACATGATTTACTTCAAACCAACTCACACCTTTGACTATCACTCGTTAAAGGCATTGAAATTGGGTTGAATAAAGGATTAGATAATATTTTTAATTATGAATATAAGATGGATTATTAGCCACCATTTTAAATCCTCATTTTACAATTAGATGGAGATGAAGCAATATTTTTAAGGACAAGGTTAATGCATTTGACCAGCCTTTGCTTTAATAATATATCTTCTAAAGATAATGAGAGTAATAAAATTAAACTGGAAATATTAAATTATATTAAAGACAATTGTCTCAATACCAGCAACTTGAATTTATTTTTAAAGATAAAGAATAAACTATTTCGCCCTTGTCAGCCCTAGTTGATCAGCTATTTATCTTTGCAAACCCTGTCAATAGGCATAGATTGTCAGATAACTTATTTAAGAAATTAATTATATTAAAAAATAATGATTTATTAAATTTTTTTATAGTTTAGGTATTTTCTTTATACGAATCACATTGTCCTATTAATTTTTATAACGTTTATAATAAAAAATTTTCATAAATCGTAATTGTAATATAGTACATTATACACTACTATTATATTAAGTGAAATGAATATAAATAAAGTGTTTTTTAGCATTATGTCTTAATTTTTTAACACTATGTTCAAAAATATAAGGTTTCACATTATCTTTTATAGTATCTTTTTGAAGTATCTGTATCTAGATACCCTCTTCTATTTTTTATTAAGTATCTGTATCTATCTTGTATCATATTTGGCTTTTTGAAAAAGCATTCATCAGTATCTTAATGTATTCATATCCTATCTCGCTGCTTAAAAAAAACAAATTTCCACTCCTAATAATAATTATGCTTTTTCAAAATTAGAATTAATTAAATATTACTTATAAGCTCACTGTTATCTAACTGAATCGCCAAGGTTTCTTTATTAAAATTAGTCTGATTTTGACGAAATTGATTGTTATGATAGGCAGAAGTGTATTGAGATTTATTATTACCAGTGTGAGTACCATCACTCTTAAAATTTTGCCCGGTATTAGATAAGGAAACAAAAATGGAAGAGGCTTGTTTATTCGTGTTATTGGCATAATAATTTTGTATCGGTGTTTTGGCCTTATTAACCTTGTCATTATCATGAGTTTGTGTAGACTTGGGAGTTTGCGGCTTTTTGTTGTCAGAATGAGAATTATTGTCATTTGTAACAGTTTTATTATCGTTGTTAGTTTGGCCCAAACTGTGGTTAATTAAACCTAATTGTTGCTGGCATTCCAGTTGGAGCTGCAAAAATAATTTTTGCTGCCGAAGCAATAAATCGTAAGCATTGGAACATGGGGGTAAGATGGGCATAGAGGTCGATATAATGTTGCAACTGCCGTTGAAGGTAACGTTATAAGAATCGTTAGTCACGATATTAGAATCCTTGTTTGTAGGATGAATAGAGGAAAGACTCGAGGAATTAAAACTATTACAGTTTAAAGAAGGTCCGGGAGACGTGCAAGGAGGTCCTTTGTATTCGTGAAATTTTATAGTTTTTAGCTTGTTTATGACGTTATTGTTGTTGGACGAGGTATAGGTGGGTTTAGGTTTGGATCCACTATTTAATATGGTGGTATTAACGTTAGTACGATTAAAAAGATCACTCAAGATGCAACTGGGTGAATGAGTAATATTATTTTTGGATAAGGATTGGTTTTTAAAATTGTTTGCTTGTTTGATATTAATCTTTTTAGAAATGGATTGCAAAGGTAAAGGGGGAGGGTAAGGTACGGATGAATCGGAGTCAGAAGCCTTGAATTTGAAAACCGCCTTTTGGTTAACGTTGTTAGAAGGAGAAGTAGCACGTTGGATACTATTATTCTTTGGATAGGGTTGATTAATGATGAAATTGCTACTTTCAGTTGAGGCAAAGTTTTCTGGTAGTAAAAATTTTACTATTATATTAATATAATTCTTATCAGAATAATATATTATTTAATTATATATAGTTAAGTTAAATAAACCAATTAAGAGTTTTTTGAACACAATTTTAATAGTAGCTTTTTTGGTAAAATTTTATAAAAAAAATTCAATTTATTTTTACCCAAACTGGCATCATCTTCGCCTCCTTTATCATTGATACACAGCCTTTTACTGTCGTTCGTTATATTATTCTTACAACTTTGATTGAGATGATTTTGTTCACCTTTGTTACATGCATCTATCCCAAAATCATCGTAGGACATGCTCCCAAAATCGTTCATGGTTGTTTCGGTAACATGACGATCTAAGAAATTTTGGTCAAAATTGTGCTGTGATTCGTAATCACAATCAGTAAAATTAGAGTGATCATATGGATCGTTTTTAAGTTCTCTCTCATCATCATGATTTTTATCATTAGCATTGGAGGGAAGAATGAGATAATTAGCCATGACCAAGTCTATAGGTCCGGGTCTACGGGATAGCCTATCATTTAGATTATCAATGAGGCGAGCTCTTTTGAGCGTTTTTTGTTTTTCGGCAACATGGGGGTCCACCACAGTGTCTAATATGTTATGGGGAATTAAAATAAATAAATTCCCTATTATTGAGGAAGGGAGTAATGCATAAATTTTCCAAAAATTATATTTTATGGATATTTGTAGGTATTCTTATTTTTACATAAAACTGACGTCTATCAATTGAATCCAAAATGTAACGGATCAAAGTATCCTGATTTTTGCGAAAATAAAATTCAAATCATTATAATGATGTGTTAACATTTAAAATAAAAAACCTTCTAAAATGTGCTGCTGAATCAATTCAGCTCGTTCAGGACGCCTTTGTATTTTGTGGTTGAGAAAGTCGCCCGTTTTCGCTCTTTCCAACTTTTGTTTCCTTTCGTAAATGCTAACGGGTGTTTGAAGAGCTTATAATTTATAATTTATATATATATAATTATAATTTTAAAATATTCATTAGGAAATTTAGTCGTAAGCAAATAAAATTTTAAGTAAGGGTTTCAATTTTTCTAATTAGTTGTGATGGTCGAGATGGTGCATTGTACTTTTATTTTTACTATAATTTTTTTTTACAAATCTAAGAATTTCTATTTATTTATTTATTTACTTTACGTTGGAAAAATATATTAATAATAATCGAAAAGCATTTAAAGATTATTAATAGTTCTAGGGCCAAAGGTCTGGTTTTAGACCAAAACCAAGTACAAGCTTGGCGTACCGGCCATAAAGTTTCAATCTATCTCACTAAGAAGAATTGAGAATTAAGAAATATTGTTTTAAAAAAATTAAATGAAACTTCATAGTTTATTTATTAGGTAAAATTATAATTACGAGGTATAATGCCTTGTTCGATCAGCAACGTCATTGGACGCCTCATCATCAGTTTATTCTTCAAAGCTAGAATTTTTTTATCATAAACAATGTCGTAAAAAGTAAAATTGATTTTAGAAAGTTTATTTATTAATAAATTTAAAATTTATCCATATATTTTTTTAAAAAAGAAAAGTTAACAATTCAATTTATAATTAAAAACGATTTTAATTTAAAAAGATTAGTAATATATCGAATAAAAAATAACAGATATTAATTGTATATATAAAAATGCATTATATTTATAATTATAAGAATTATGGGAGTGGAGTATACATAAAAAAATATTTATAAAAAAGGAAGCTAAAAATTGGGAATCTTGCTTATATCTCTTAGAAAATTTCTAAAGTGATATTGAAAATAATATTAATAGATCCTTGGCGTTCTTATTTGCTTAAAAAATATTTTAGCCAAAAAATATAATATAAACCTTCGCATTCGCACATAGATGGCAAGGAGGTTTAGCCTTTCTGATCAAATCTCGAGGTTTAAGTATTATTTTTTATAAAATGATTTAACTCTTATTTTAAAAATGACAAAATCGAGATTTTCGACACACTAATATAATAAATCATTAAAAATTTAATGGACATTTTATTAATAATTAATTCAAAGAAGTCTCCCAAAAATAATCAAATAGAATGCGATATTGGTATTCAATTTAAATGTTATTAGTGTTCGTAATCCTGATAAAATTTTAAAATTTTGGAATAGGTCTAATTCATTAAGGTATGCATTTTTACAACTTGTTTAAATGAGTTGGTAATATGAAATAATGAGATTATAAATTAATATGGGTTAGAAGCAATATCAATCACATTATTTATATATATCAAATTAACTATATTTTTTAAACTTACAATTCTTGTTTTCTTGCATGGAAGCTTTCAACGATTTTTTCTCGATGGTATGAGCAGCAGAATTTCCAGAATTAACGCCATTTTTATCCTTATAATACATTTTGTTACGATCCACTAATACTGCTCTTTTAATCAGTCGATTATCATTGCCATTGGAATGATTTGCCCCATCACTGATATGGTTATCCTCTCGGTGGGATTTCCAATTTTCCGATCCACCAATATCCAAGGCACTACTATTATGAGTATCGATAAAACTATTACGATCTGCAAAATTTTGGTTCAGGCCTATTAAACTAGTGTTCTGTAAATTTTCGTTACTGCTATTCAGGCAATTATTTTCGACGGAGCTAGTCAAATTTTGGTAACTGTCGCTCTGATTAGAACTCCCACTGGGAACAAAATAATATTTGAAGTTTAGACCGTTAAATACTTCCTCTATTTCCATAAAGATATGTTAGGAATTCGCGGTTTGGTGACATTTTTATGAAGGAAATATTAGTTCCTTTGTTAGAAAGTTGTTCATGAATAGATGATAGAACAAATAAATTTTTTTAAAAATTATTGTATTTTAGTTTGATTCACTAGGAAAATTCTGAATGAATTTTAAAAAGTAATCATAATATTAAGAGTTGTATAAGAGGAAGATGCAATGTTTTTTAATCGAGTAATTTAATTATATAGAATAGAATAGTTGATTAATAAATAGTACGTTCGAATTTGATTTTGACGCTGCGTTGATTCTCAAATAATAAATCTTAAATAATATTGTTCAGATAGGAGATTATTGTTGGGTCAAATAAAGATAAAAAAATCATAAATAAGTTTGCAATTCATTTAATTATTTTAATATTGCCGCAATTTAAAGCACGTTTTTTTCCTTTTCAATCTCAAAATAAATAAAAGCTCAATATAAGACCGATCGATTGTATTTAAAAAGCCGAATTGATTGTATTGGCATCAATTTAAAGTTAGGAAGGATTTAGGAACTTGATAAAAGAAATTCTGTTTAAAAGAAATTGTATATAAAAAATATAACATAATTCGTTAAAAAAATATTTCTCTATTAATTTTACTAGTTGGATATTTATACTACTTACTGTATTATAGATTTTATTATTAATATTGGTTTTATCGTTTTAATTTTTACTAAATATCCTAAATTTTTGTTTTTAAATATTATAGAGATTAGAGATCTGCCAAAAAATTAAATTCTTCTATATTTAAATAAATTCGGGCCGGGCAGAGCGGACAAATAATTTTTATTTTGGGTCGGATTTTTCGGAACAAATAAAAAATTTCGTTCACTATCGAGTCGGATAGGACATATTTTTTTAAAAAAAATCGGGCCGAGGTGATAGTTTGCTGATAAAATCTGTTTCACCGTTTTCGTAGGTGGACCCAAAATCGAATAAAATTTCAAAATCAAAAATTGGTTTTACATTATAAAATGCATCAAGCCAATAATTTAAATAGATAGTCTGTAAAAAAATTATAAAGTAGAGATGGAACAATAAATGAGTTCGAAAAACTTTAAATTCGTGACATTAAAAATTTATGCATTTTTTTTATAAAAGTCTGAATTTAGTCCCATATTAGACACCAAAATAATATACTATATGATATATAAAAGTATGTTGTTAATCGATATTTTCCAAAGTAACGCGCTTCCGTAAAGCTACTTTCCAAAAAATAGCCTTCGCTACTTTTACGATTATTTAAAATATTATTTATTATAAAATATAATAATATTTGTAATTCAGATTTAAAAATTTTATAAGATTATTATCAGTGGTCTGCAATACCGGGGGTTGGGTAATGTCTAAAAATTTTCTTTTAGAGCCGGGCCGGGTAAAAAGTAGATACCTGTTTAAGATTAGAGAATATTAATTATTTAAAAGCCTTATTTTATTAAAATGACGTTTTTTATTGGCTTATAATTTTAGATTTTTTAAATTTAAATATAATCTCAAAACAAGGTCAAGTTATTATTGACAGAAATAGGACATATTTTGTAATGTATTTATTGAATTCTGATATTTGATAGTAATAATTTAACCACTTCCCAATATTATAATATTTTGGTGCTCAACTATAAATATTTCTGGTTAGTAGATCTCTAGCATCAATTACCTGGCCCAGATTTTTAAAAAGAATTTTTTTTTAGCCTGGCCCAAATTTTTTTAAAAAAAACCCCTACGGATTTTAAAAACCGTTGAGCCGGGCCGAACAACTTTAATAAAAAATAAAGTCGAACCAGGCCGGGCTGGCCTATCTTAGTGAGAAATTAAAACCGAGGCGGGAAGGGCAAAAACTAAATTTCCACCGAGCCAGGTCTGATAATTTTTCCATTTGTAAACAAACTACTGATAATTATAACTAACTTGTTTTATTTATTTTTTTATTAAGCATACAAAACTGCTCAAATTTGGAAAAGTAAAAGAAACGTCCTTAACAATATTATCCATTATAGAAAATCATTTTTAGAAATGGATATTGTTATATTTTGAAAATCGTTTTCTATTAGATGGTTGATTATATTTATAATAAAAAAAATTAATTTTTAAAGGTTTTATATCAATTCTATAAAATTCCTTATTTATTTTGTGTCTATGATACATGGACGCTGAATAAACGATTCTTTTTAGCTAATAATTATCATTTTCGTTATTTCATAAATTATTATATCTAGGGGCAGGTAGCTTTTAAAATTAGCAAATTTTGAAAATAGAATACGCACTTATTTAAGCAAATATATTAAAATTTTATAAATAACTTTCTTACGAATATAGTACTTATTTTAAATAGATATTATATTCTTGTGTCATTAAATCATTTTATTATTATAATTTCCTTATGCCTTAAGGAAAAACAAGAAAAATCAAAACATTTTATATTTATGATAAATATTACTAGATGATCCTACAGATCAAAATGAACAAAACCTAATACATAGAATTTATATTCAATAAACATTCATTTTTGCGCTGTAATTTTTATGTATACAAAAAGTTGGGCTTTTTTCCAATTATTTTATGTTTATTTTTGAAATTAGTCCCATTTAAATCGGGGGGGGGGATGCAAAATTAGGAGTCAAAACGAAATTAGTGAAAATATTTTTCTATCTTAGGATTCAAATTTTTTATTGGTTATAAGTGCGTGACCAGAATTAATTTGATGCCATTATAATAGGATGATTCGACATTTGTGTTAGATATTAATGATTAGCGAATACATGTATTTAATAATAGAAGATATAAATTTGAACATAAACCCAGCGAGGGCCTGGCAATGGCGGGACAGAGTTCCCTAAGGCAAGTATTGAGGACAAAGACTCCCATAAATTACATTTAAATAGTTTAGGAAAATTTACACTTTTTAAAATAAATTAGCCCCTTTTAGCACTTTCTTTACTTGATATTAAGTTTGTTTAAAAAAGCCCAACAATTTAAATTGAATTCAAATCCTTTTCTAAAAAATATAATAATCTTTTTTTGACGAATGAGAATAAATAAGATTAAAATGATGAAGAGACGTAATAAAGCAAGACAATATTTAAACATGTGGTGTTTTAATTTTCTTTTATTGTTTAAAATTTTTTAAAAATTAATAAATTTTTTATAAATTTAATTTAATCGATATAAAATGTATTATTATAATATATATAAATTTAGTGTTAATGTGTTTAGATTGGAAATGTTTATCGTATACTTTTGGGATAAATAAGGAAATGAAGAAAAAAAATGGATAATAAAAGAGTGTTGGATTGGGGATTGGCCAGAGACATTTTATCAGACTCGATAGTATTCGGACCTTGATTTTAAAATTTATTTCGAACCGAATCTCGGCTAAATTTTAAAATTTAATATTTTTACTAGTTAGTGTATATTCTACCATCATACAAATTTTTTAAAAAAATCGAAGAGAGTCGGTTGAATCTTCAGTTGAATATGGAATACAATGTATAATTTTTAAGATTAAATTGTTTATTATTCAGCGCTTACAAGTCTTCCGATTTAGTTGAAATGTTCCCTTTCATCAGTCAAATAAAAAATAAATCGGATGGGGACTTATTTATGAATAAAAATTTGGAATCGTACAAAAATTGAACTATTTTCGGATGGGTGGGGGCAAAAATAGGTCGGATGCAGGGCTTTATTAGTAAAAACTCATATATTATAGTAGATTTGAATTGGTACCTATGGGTCGTAAACTCATATTTATCTCGTGCATCAAGGACACTTGGAGGAAAGTAATTTTAAGTGACAGCATGTCGGGCTGGAAAAACTTAACCAACCAATACTAAGGCACACCGATATTAACATAAGTATGTATCAGACCAGTGACACTGACAATATTGAATTTTTAAAGAAAATAACCACAACATTTTATAAAAACCGATCTGGAGGCAAAAAAAAATGTTGATGCATATTTTAGGTAATTTTTTTTATTATTTATCATATACTCCTGCAGTGTATATTTTTGCAACTTTAAATCATTTATTGAGTGCATTTTTTAAATTTGAAAAATCTGTTTTAAGGAAAGGAAAGTATTGCAGCATGTGTAAAATATCTACCCTACTTCATACTCTGCTTATTCACGATCACGAATCCCATTTTAAAAATGATAAATCTAGTATTATTAGATGATGAGTCTAGTATTATTAGATGATGAGAAAAAGATAACAGAAATAATATGATCGAAACATGAAATTTAAAAAACACCTCCTACCAGTGATCTAAACAAAATTTCTAGCTAGGGCCTGAAAATCTAGATAATCAAAATATGATCGTTTTCGTATCATCTTACGTTATTAAAATTTAAGGAACTATATAGTGTAATGTTTAATTTTTTTCCATCTACCAGTATCGAACCACAAACCTCCCGTTATAAAAGTACACGATTTAAGAATGCACCAACTTGAAATATAATTACATTTAAAATATTAATTATATATAAATAGCTGAATTTTTAAAATTTTGCTGTTTATTACCATACTAGCTAATAACCGGTAAAGAATGACAGGGGTGAGGGATAATTAGTTAGTTTGTGTATATGGTACTAGATATACTTTATTAATATATTTTATAAAATTAAAATTTAGGAGAAAAAGAGGTAAAATTATTGCAATGTAACCCGTTAAAATTAAGGGGAAATAACAAAATTTAAATTTGTGATAGAAATCATATTGGATAAAATTTTAAATAGAGATGATTGTTAATTTTAAAAATGGGCTAGATATTGGCCTGAAAATTTTTTTTTGCAGACATGGCCTGGCCTGATCAAAAAACCAAGGCCCATGCAACTTCATATTCTGATTTTATTTTAAAATTAATTATGACTTTTATATATTTTATTTCAGTTCTCAACTACCAAAGTTATAATGGTCTTTGGCGGGCTTGAGAAAATTTTCCCAACATTATGATGTGCATGAACCTGACTTGGGATTTTTTTTAATATTAGATATTAGGCATATGTGTAATAATTAACACAGAATATGTATATGGGTCTCAGGTAAAAGCTAATTTAAATTAGGGTTGTGCCGATCCACATCCTTTTCACCGATCCGATATTGGTTCAAAACTTATCCGATAATTAAATTGATTTTTTACCACCACCACCC